GGATCAAGGTTAGTGCACACAAAAGGATCTGCTGAAGTTATGTTAGTAGTATGCTGATAGTCATTTTAGCAATCGGTTAGATCTCGCCTGCGGAATCCGGGTTGCCTTTTAACAGGTGATTATCCAGATGTCTCTCGAATATACTCACAGTAGGGGAATAAAGAACATACGTCAGCAAAGAATTTCATTGGCGAAGGACAGTCTTCAAGAAAGAGGAGGAACGTTGCTTTGTTTCGCACAGTTCCTTTTTAAGCTGGTAATCGTGTCGCCTGAGATTACTGTTTAGTTCCATTTCAAAATGAGTTTCCCAGTCGACATCCAGATCATGTCCTCTTAGCAAATGCAACGTTGGTATGAGGTCATCTCTGTATTGCCTGTAGCGGAGAGGATGGAGATTCAAGACCACCAGGCTCCGCTCGTAAGTAAAATTTCTGAGGTTATGAACAGCCTTTGTAGCACGTCGTTATACACCTTCAAGAATATCTATATCCTTCCGAAGCCACGGCCGCCAAGCCCGTACCGCATATCCCAGATGCGGCCGTACAAATGACCCATGTACTTTGCCAAAGACATCTGTATTCAGGTTAATAAACATTCTTCGTATCGCGCTCATGATGGAAATTGCCCACTCTACGACATTAGAACACTCCGTGGTGACGCTTAGGTCGTCTTTAACGAATGTGCTAAGGTCTTTGTGCCCATCTACGGTTTCAATTGGTTGATTGTCCGGGGAATACTGACGTGAGGGTGCATTCGTTTTACGCCTTGCTAATGCTGTGTGCATTACTGCACAGTTTTGACGTAGAATTTCGTACACTATTACTCGCTCGATATGTGCCAGTTCTCTACCTCCTCACGTGGTTTCTTGGAGTCTTTTTTCATCCTTTATCACCCTCCACAGTTTAAGATCGTTCGCAAAGAGCGTCATGCCCGCATTCACTGCCCGTACTAGATCATTTACATAGATGATGAATAGGAGTTGCCCAAGAATTGACCCTTGTGACTCTCCACACTTAATAGGGTCCCATTCTGAGCAGTAGCCACCCGCAGTAACTTTCTGTTTACGACAGTTCAAGAAATCTTGAATCCAGTTCTGGAGATTTCCCCTTATCGCTATGCCTGACAGCTTCTGACCGTGGCGCTTGTGTGGGACGCAATCAAACGCCTTGCTGAAATCGAAGTAAATGACATCTACCGGATGTCCTTCATCCATGGCCTTTGACCAATGTTCGAGTGACGTAAGCAGGTTTGTGAGGCGGGACCTCTTTTCGCAGAAGCCATGTTGAAATAAAGTGATGTGACAGCAGAATGTATCGAGTGATGTAATTGATGTCTTAACTATTTTTTTATCAGTTTGCAGCAAATGCATGTCAGACTCACCTGCCGGTAGTTGGTGGGACATAGCCGTGATCCTTCCTTGTGTATGGGTACGACGTTTGCCAACTTTCATGTATCAGGAAGTTTGCCAGCTTTGAGTGATTTTTGAGAGATTATACAGAGTGGTTCTGATAATTCTTCAGCAAATTGACGCAGGAGCACACCTGGAACCTCATCTTGTCCAGGTATCCTGGCCGGATACAGTTTATTTAACACTGCCAAAACTAGCTGCGGTGTAAATAATGCTGTTGCGAAAATTCCCATAGCAGTAATCAGAAGACGAGGTGGCGAGCATACGTAGCTTTCGATAAATTCTCGTCGGGCCAGTACAGTTATATGAGAACGGGGTAGAAGAAAACACGTCAGCGATAAGAAAAATCGATAAAAGTTCTACTTAAAACATGGGCGGGGTGTGGGAATGTGTGGGAATGTGTGTGCTGTATTTAAAAGTGGTTGGTTGACGTGCTGTGACAGAAAACAGGACTGGAGGGGTGGTTCCGTGGCACAGATACTTTTGAAAAATCCTGAACGGAACTCGGCTTTTTGAAAGCTATTGCTCACAATTTGGTTATTTTTGTCGTTTTAAGTTGCGAGATGGTCCTGGTTCATCGTATTGCGCCCGATATATGCACTGAATGCCTTAGGTTTTTCCTGTGCCTCTTTCAGGAGCTTAAGTTCATAAGAAGCACGTACTTCACAGATGAGATTTTGCATAAGTTGCATTGTTGTCTAGCTTCTTGAAGTTTTTCTGGGCTCCCCGTCTGTAAGAAGATTTTCCACAGTGTGCGCTGTTGCCGGCCATTTCTGTCAGTTTCCGGTCGGATGTTTTTCATAGTTGATTCGAATGTTGTCCAAAATTCGCTGAAATCTCCTCGTAATACTTCCGTCCATGGTGTGTTTCCAATCTCCAATTTCACTGTCTCAAAGGTGCCCCGCCAGACATGGCTTAACTACTATGAGCTTCGTTCAGGGACAGCTGCGAATGTTGATTACCACATTAATGTCCTGTGATCACAAGGACCTAGGGGTGGGCCTACATTTATTTCATTAACACTTTCATCGCTTTTGGTTAACAGTAGATCCAGGCAACTAGCTCCCTGATCTCCACGCATCTAAGTCACTGTTCATTCGCATGCTGAGACAGAAATTCATCAAGTGCCATGTCTAATAACATTTGGTCGAATCCTGCTCTGTGGCCCATAACTTTCATGAGGTTCCAGTTAATCCGCGAAACATTGAAATTTCCTACAAGAATAATGTTTTGCTTTCGACTGTCCTCGCGGCGTCGAGGGACTAACGCTTGATCTTTGTCGGCAGGTTGATTTGGAGCACACTAACATTTTCGGTTTTAGGAACCAAAAATGACACTGTAACATCTCCAGGTCATGCTCATTTGCACATTCGACTGCATCACCGATATATAGGGCAAATCCGCCGCCTTGCCTTTAGGTTTAGTCTCGTCCTGGTACTTGATAACCATCTAACTGTATTTGGGAGTTTGTGACATCTGGGATGAGCCGCGTTCCAGATGATGTAATAACACCAGGACATACTGTTATTTTTGAGTGATTTTGAGTTCGTCGAGTTTGTTGAGGATGCTTTGTACAATTCTGTAAAGGAACCTAATTCTATGCATATTTTTGCGTCGAATTAACCATGATTTATCCTAATGCATTTTAGCAAATATGCGTGTGCAGGACATATGAAATGCAAAAATTTGATGCTCAAATGTGTAAAATCGGCTTGCGTTAGGAGCTAGCATAATGGAAAAGAGAGGATTCGTGGAGAAGGAAGTACAATCGCTTGGACAAGAGCTTTATTTGCCTGACTTTTTGGATTACTGGTCATCTAAAATCTAAAAGTATCAAATATATATATATTATGATGGTAGGGGCTGCTTACCGATCGTTCTTACGGAACTCACTCCTTCCGTTGCCGACAGGCAGTTACTGAAACACGCGTATACGGGCTTTTGGCTAGTACCTGTGCTGTTAGTATAGAATCACCTTACTCTAAAATTATGTTCTTTAGTGTTCTTTGATGCCTGGAGAACAAACCGTGTGTGATACACATAGGTGAACTGCCCTAATTCCGCCAGGCGCTACGTCCAATTCAATTTCCAGATGGTTGACAGGCTTGGAAGGTCGACTGGTGCATGGCAGAGGGAGGAGAGATTGAGGTCGACACTGGGAGGGGAGACTCCGTTCCCTTGACATCCCTGCTCACTCCTAACCACGGCAAATCTGCCGCATTTGAATCTGTCATGACTTACTACAGTCGTGGTTTGAAAGGTCGCCAACTGGCGGGATCGTTCGGTCCTCACGGCCTGCGCTGTCTTTGTGGGGTGACCGACTAGAAGACGGGGGTCGTGCGCAATGGCTCCCTCTTCGTGTGGCCTTTGCAGCAGTTTCAAACACAGGAGATTAAAGCTACCCCTTTTTTGAAAGCCTGGTACTTCGTGCGGGGAAAAGATCGTGCGTGGCACGCGTAGACGGACCCTTAAACTTTATTAGCTATTGCGCCTGCGCCCACACCCAGTGGTTTTCACATTGCAGATTTTTAATTTTGCCGGGAGTTAATCACTTACTCTGAGTAAGTCAGTCTATTGGAGACTTGTAGGCTCAGTCTGAAATTCGATAAAAATATTTGCACGGAATTCCGTTAGTTACGACGGACTATCCGCGTAATATTCACAAAGTGCCAACAAGCAGCCAGTAGTATATGCAAAGGTGATGATATAGATACTAGCTATAAGCTCGGACACATGTTTCGCCGATATTCTGCCACTTCTTAACACAACTGGGAGGGGTTCGACCCATCAGTAGGTCCCTCAGCGTCCCCGTGTGTCTTCCCGGTAAATACCACAGTGTTAGATTTTTTAATTTCCAATTTTCTCAAAAATTACCAGCTAACTTGTAGTGAATCAGTCTATTTGGAACTTATAGGCTCAGGCTTAAATCTAACATTGACACTGTCTTGTGATTAGATCTCGGTGGGTGAGGGAGAGGAGTGGGATAGGTGCTGTGCAAAGCTGCCTAATCATGAACTAATTCATGTGGGAGACATCGGTTCTCAGCCCATTCCATTGGGCACATGATTGAGGTCGTCATCCGCGGCGGTCTAGCCTTCATCTGAAGCATCCAGTTGCTAAACCTTGACGTCTTAGTGAGGTAAAAATGCATGGCTTTGAAAAGACACAGAACTTTATCTCGGATAGGCAGTGTAGGAATTGACGAAGGTGAAAACGTCCATCCACTGCATGGCTATACGTACATGGAACGTGAATTCCCCGCATGGGTGCTTGCAAGTGGTTGGTCAGTAGTACAGACACTGACGAGAATAACGTTCTTCACTTATTAGAAGAAGAAAATTGGCTCTCCGGAACAGGTTTATTTAACTGCTGACGTTTCAAAGAGCTGGGTCGGCTCTTCATTGTCAAAGCGTAAACTGCACCTAATCGATCAGAAATTTAGTTTAAAGTGGCAAGTTGTGTTGGCCGGCCTCATGCTGATCGATTTTTTTCCTCTACTCCCGCTGCGTCGGCCTCTCAGGAGATGGTTGACGGGCGTTTTTGCCTATGCGCTTTATGAGTCACCACTCCGTCGAGGGGAGCTGATTGGACTTTAGTCGGGCGGTCGGTCTGGCGGTTCTTGTTCTTCCTCACCGAGTAAGCTCAGCGTCGGGCTATCTCCGTGCTGCCTTCTTAAGTCAGGTGTGGTTGTTTGGTCCTGAGCTATACGATTGTGATGACGTAAGACTTTGTAAGCTGCAGGAAGGTCCAGATGCCTGTTGATAGAGTGGGCATAGGAGAACCACGCTTCGAGAGTTAGCCGTTCTGTTTTTGTGTTGTCTCGGCCTAAGATGGTAGCCCTCTGGAGGTCAAAAGTATGCCCCGTTTCTCCAACGTGTGTTGCTACTTGAGAGTTAGGGTCTAACCTCCGAGTGGCCGATTTATGTTCTTGTAGGCGAGTTTGCAATTTCCGCCCAGTTTCGCCCACATAGTTGCAGTCGCCCTCATTGCAATTTATTTTGTAGATGACTGCTGAGGCTTCAGCGGGTGGCAATGGGTCTTTAGGTTGCATCAGGCGACGTCGAATTGTTGCTTGTGGTCGATGGGCTATGCCTACTCTGGTGGGTTGGAACAATCGCGAGACCGCTTCAGAGACCCCTTTAACGTAAGGAATGGCCCTCCAGACTTCGGGTTGCTGCTCATTTGGCCGTTGTCTGGGCGCCCAACGTCTGTTTCTCTCGATGAAATGCCTGGGATAACCATTGGCAGCAAATAGGTCCACAAGGTACAATCGTTCGGCTCTTTTATCTTCTGGTGTGCTGCAGTGTGTTTCGACTCTTTGGAATAGAGTGCGGACACAACTACGTTTGTGAGACAGTGGATGGTTGCTGTTGAAGTGTAGGATCTGTCTGGTGTCGGTGGATTTTCGGAATACTGTAGTTTGCAGCTGTCCAGTGGTACGCCGGCGCACAAGTACGTCAAGGAAGGGCAGTTGGTTGTTTGTTTCCGCTTCCATCGTAAATTGTATATCAGGGTCAACCGAGTTCAGTAGTCCCTTTAGGTGTTCAATGTCAGTTGTTTTGACAACGACGAAGGTGTCATCGACATAGCGGGCCCAGAACTTTGGTTGATAGTTGGTGAACACCAAGTGTTCTACCCGTTGAAGTACTACTTCAGCAATTAGGCCTGATATAGGGGAGCCCATAGGAGTGCCCTTTATTTGTTCGTACATTTGTCCGTCGAAAGTGAAATAGGTCTTGAGACAGTATCGCAGAAGCTCGAGCAGATGCTCAGACTTCAGAGGCCTGTCTCTCTCCTCATAACGCTCTGCCAGTAGTTGGTCCACAACATCTATCGCTAGTGGCTGTGGGATGGAGGTGAAGAACGAAACGACATCAAAGGATACCATGGATTCGTCTGGCTCTAACCTCAGATGCTTTATAAGTTCGAGGAATTGATACGCAGATGCAGCTGTTGTTGGTGAGCCTTCGGCCAAAAACTTAAGACGACCGAACATCCATTTTGCCAAACCGTACGTCGGAGTGCCACGAAGAGATACGATTGGCCTGAGTGGGACATTTGCCTTGTGTACCTTCGGTAGACCGTAAAAACGAGCCGTGGCGGTGCCTGTGGGTTCTTCACTTATTTCTAGCTCATGGATTGCAGCAATGTAGGACTTTTGTGGGCGCGGTTTGGTCCGGCAGCCGTACTTGATTGATACCATATGAATAGCTTCCTAAACAATTTTAGTAGGTGCGATTACGTTTAATTTACATATATCACGTGTTTGCGCCTTTCTTTATAATTTAATCCGACGAGTGTTTGTGCCAGCCTCAGTTGCATCAGGTATCAGTTCACACGCACTACTCTGCGCGTGCTTCGAGCTCCGCTTACGCATTCCTTGTTATGCTAATCTAGAGAGTAACTAAGTAGGTTTGCTAATGGCATTATTCAGACGGACTGGACCTCTGTCGGCTCCACTGTAGTGGTCATGTACAGCTAATTGACGGGCGGTCCCCTCTGTGGCCATCCGGTTTTGATTGCACTTTCCTTATCCTCTTAATCCAGCGAGTTGCTGTGTCGCGGGGTAAGTGTATACGACACCCTCGGTTACACCAAGCACCAGTTCACACGCGCATCCCTGAGCGTTCTTCGAGCTCTGCTTGCACTCTCTCCCCTTTCCTAATCCGGCGAGCGGCTAGGATTGGTATGCTAACTAAAATTGTTTTAGGGACCTATCCGTATGGTATCAATCAAGTGAGGCTGCAGGCCCAAGCCTCGCCCTTTTGTGGGTTCAGCCTACGGCAATTACTACTTGTCATAAGCCGATAGACCCTTGGTTTTGTGTTTAACGCAACGACGACGCAGCTCCTCTTGCTGGGCAAATGTCCCGAGTGCTAAACATGACACCTCGACTTGTCAGGTACGGTTTCACATTTCCTGTTTTGACGCCCTAGCTCCTCAAGTGGGGCGTATGTAGCGTCCGTCTGCTGGATTCGTTCAGGCCACCAAATCATGATGGGGAGGGGGGAGGAGTGGACTAGTTCAACTCGACCCCGACTCGCTATAATTAGACTGGGGGCTTAATAGTAAGACGCGCCACTGTACTACACCCAAAGAAGTCAAAGGGGACCTGCAGAAGGGATCCCAGTAATCATTAGTCACTTTGCCTGGTTTCATAACCGTCGATCAGTTTAACAAGATCTTACTACTCCTACATCAGTTTGGAGATGGATAGAGCAGAACCAACGTTGTAATACATTATCAGGTGAGATCTTATTTCATGGGTTAGGTTTATGAGTTAGGAGTTAGCGTTATGGGTTAACTTTAAGATTAGGGGTTCGGTGTAGGTGTTAAGGTTAGGTGCTGTGGTTAGGGTTAGGAGTTAGTGCTAAACCTCCTTTTATCATCGGTCCCGCATGACAGGCAGCTGGGGCTTGTCTACTGCTGGTGCGGCCACGAAATAGGATCCGACCCACTTCCACTGACGTTTCAGCGCTAAGTATCCTCATCAGAATAGAACACACAAATTTCGAGTTTGAAATTTGCGGTCTATGATACTTTACGGAATACTCAAAAATATTTCCAGTTCAAATCTGGTATTTTACGGCGCATGAGTCACTTGAAGTCACGTAAATCGCTTGATAGTTATGCAGTTAGCGCTTGAACACGTCTACCGTTTGGGTGCTAATGCTGATGGAACAAGTAAAATGAATAAGTATTTTCCTCCATAGCATCTTAATAGTGCCTGGTTACATATCCACATTCACTGACATGGATGTCTTAGCATCGAACGGGGGATTTTTATTGAGGTGCGAATTAATAATTGGAAAAAAAACATTGGACTTTATTTCAAAAACCCAATTTACCAACAAACACCTTGTAAAAAGTTCATTCAAGAAAAGATTATCCAAACCTGGGGCGTGAATACAATGAATAATTACATGTAAACGGTAGACCAGCATTCAGAACTGTAGCGAGAATGTCGTTCATTAGTTCATTCCAGCTCATGTCTATCCAGGGCACATCTCGTATATCGGGGTCGATGGTGCCTCGCAGAGTGAACGTAACCGGTCCTTCGACATTTGTTCTACTTGTACCTGTATCAGTCATATGCGCAACTTGCAAATGTGCGTCGAACTGCGTTATCCAAAATACCTGTGTTATTTGACCTTCCGGAGATCCCTGTTTTAATGAGTAATTAGAGAATCACTCAATGTGCATTCCTACCTCACAGTCAATTTGTAGGACAGCGCGCTCTATGTTAACATCGCATTTGTAAACTAGTCTGAAAAGGTTCTCCGGTACATCCGTTGAGATGCAGGGGCTTCGCCTTCCAAAGGTGAGTTCGGTTACCTTGGCGAAACAGTTATCGTAGTGTAGAGGAGGAATTGGAGTCGGCCTGTCTAAGACACCCATAACAACTGCCTGGAGAAAATCAGTCATGTCCTCGACGTCCATTTTTGGACATAAATTTTGGGCTGAAATTGAAAAAAATCTGTATTATAGAAGGCAGTTTGTGACTGTAGGGAAAACGTAAATAAGGTATCTGCGGTCGCAAGCAAACCTTGTTGTCCGGAACATGCAAATGTCACTGATGCGAAGAGCGAAGTAAGCAGCGGACAGTACAGCCACATGTTCATTTTGCTTACGAGCTCTTAGTAGGCAAACCTTCTTATAATGTTTGACTGTATGTGACGGAGATTCGATTGGTCATCCGTTTTGTTCATTGGCAAAAACCAGTTGAGTTATTTTCTGCCGAGGCGGCCAATAGAAAATCAGTTTGTTGTCAGTTAGTGTCCACGAAATAAGCAGATGCTAATTTGACGTGTGTCTTAGCGAAGTGAAATCATACAAGAGATCTATTTGGCGAGAAAATGGACAGAGAAATGTGAAAAATATCATAGAGCATCGTTCCTTGAACTGCGTATTTTGGCTTATCCTGGACGCTTGTAGAGGGAATTAAATTGGTCGGGAAATGGCGGATTGAGAGCGTTTCATTCACGGTGAACTCGAGGCTGTCTTAGGTCTCGTAAAAGAACTCAGTTTATTTCATCCAGATCTTATGCTGAACAATCGATTTCGCTAACAGAAGCGCGGCAATAACCGCAGAAATGGATACAATACTTATGCAAAGTAAAAAGTGAAAAAGCTAATGAGTATTATTCAAGTCGGGAATATTTGAGATGGAAAAAAAGACTTCTGATCCATTCCGAATAAATTTCTCGCTGGTTCATATTATCATGATCCCGCTATGACAATAATTTTAAAATTGCTTGTTTTGACGATAAATTCCATATAACAGTAGGGCGTGCTAGAGATTACATTCAGAGGCCATAACGGCACCTGCCGTTCCGTTAAATGTCAGCAAATAACAGATAAGGACTTCGTCTCTGAATCAAAACATGAATAATATATTAAAAAGTGTGGAAGGGATTGTGCACGAGGATGTGAACGCCTAGTATTACGGGCTGGCTGGCCCTAAATTTCAGGGATGTTAGCGCTTGGGTCAGTGTCAGAGTTAGGGTTTAAAGGAGGGGTTATGATTAGGGTTAGAGTTATGGTAGGGGTTTGGGTTAGGGTTAAGGCAAATGTTAGAATTGAGTTTATGGCTAAAGTTAAGACACGGGGATAGGAGCTCCTGAAATTTAGCTCAAAGTCTCTCCTAGTGTTGGCAGCGGGGTCCATAGTCAATAGCGGACCCACAGTCAATAGCACATTTTTGGGGCTGAATAGGTTCAAACTACGGTCACCAAATATCGGCTATTTTCTGGGAGTGCTGTACGCAAATTTCCAGTGCTAACATCATTTTTTTATGCTAATGCCTGGTAAGGAAATTCCAAACTTCGACATGCTAATGTGACTGACCTTTGGGTGCGTTATTTGAGAAGACTTCAAGATGCGTTTTATATAAAGTTCGTCTTGAAACGTGTAGCGGGATAATCACATTTGAAAGCTGCACTGAAAGAATAGATGCAGGTTACCCCGTTTCCCATTACTTTACTTGTACTGTAGGTTTCATCTGTGAATCGCCTGGGCTTTGAACGCTAGGCGTTTGGGGCACAGGGCAGGCTAGGTTAAACTACCAAAATATTTCTAGTCAGTTGTCTTTCTTTAGCCTAAGAATTCATAAGAATAAGTGCGGATGAATGAGGGATTTCCAAAATACCACGGTAGTATTTCGTTGTAAAGAGCGTCGAACTAGACCTCACCCCTTCGAATGCTAACGAGACCTATCTTCACTCAGGCTTCAAATGATTCATGCACCTTCATTCACATTTCCAGTGGAAGGCCTGCCGGTTATTTCCTTATAACCGAATGTTGCTCGCTATCAGTCGACACTTCGCCGTGACTGATTTCCAGTTCCAGATTTACTTCTTTTCTTGTGCGTATTCTGTCTCGACTAACTGGACTCGTTGCTACATTTTTTCCCTTTTACCTCTCGACTTTCGCGTTCCCATAAAGTTAATTATGCAGGATATCTGCGAGGCGCCGAATGTTCTTAATAAATTCATAAATCCAAAATCACCTGCACGGAAATCGAGCAGAAATCTACATTAGTGTGAGAGCGGATGTACTTCAACTCTGAAATGCGTGGCCAGGGGGAGAAATGATGCAGCGAAAATCAACTGGTTATTTTATTTTTAAGTCAAAAATGGTAGAAAAGATAAAAGAAAGAGCTCAAAGCCTCACCGACAAAAGAAATTCAAAAGGACGAAACGACACAGAGCATGCATCGAGATGGCCAAATAATTTTCGTTTTATTACCTGCTGACGGTTTTTATGACATTCGTGAGGCAAGCGAGACTACTTAAAAAATATATCCTTATCGCACATCCGTCTCTCTTTCCCTCAGTCGTATTATTCCGTCAAAAATACAAAGTTTGTACAGCTTCTTGAATGAATAATTCTTGGCTTTGTTACAAGTCGATATTTCGCTGTGACTCACATGCAAGAATGACGGCCATTGTGTGTTTCCTCCTTTCAGAGTTGCAGATCCAGTTTCCTTTTCATACATTTTATAACACGACTGACTACGATCCTCATGTGTTTACAAGAGGTCACTTTGCGAAGTACGTTCACAATAGCAGAATGCATACCAAATATTATACTTAAAATATCCCACAAAGTTAATGGTGCAGGATATCTGCAAGAATCTGAATATATTTAATAAAATCACGTACAGTGCGTGACCTATCTCATGAAATGTTGGCTGAAATTCTG